CCCCCCCCCCCCCCCCCGATTTGGGCGGTAGAGGAGGGTAAAGGAGGGTAAAGGGGTGTAATGACATTCTTACCCTCATCAAAACAAATAAAAGGGCTGATGTGTTATTAATATAAAGTCATTTATGTAAATTTACATATATTTACTTCCTTTCACCTTCATTCACCTTACTCAACTCCCAAACAATATATTACAATCCTCTTCCCTTCCCTTCCCTTCCCTTCCCGTTGTTTACATTTCCTTCCCTTCCCTTAGTAAACTCCCAAACACACCATTAATTAAATTCATTTTCAGATGAAAGACAATGAACCCTTGGTTAAATAAACAGACCCATTAATCATGACATCCTCCTTGAAACGTAAAGGTGTAAGGTCATTAATCTATCATGTGACGGTCACACAAGAATTTTCAAAAATATATTCTGATGGTAGTCTTAGTATATAAAAGTACGATGAAATAGCAGATAAATGAAAGTAAATGAAACTCTTTGTGCGCCTTCATTTTATGTTGACCATTAAAAAAACACATCATCAATCAATACTATACTAATAAAACAACAATCTCTGCGATAAAAAAGAAAACAACAACAACAACAACAATCTCTGATTGCATCTTTGATCACTTGTCAAGTTCAAAAGTTTTTATCTATTTAATCTCTCCACTTGAAAATCTCATGACTATTTAGTTTCTCTTAATTGTTAATTCTTAATTTTCTCACCCCATCTTCCTTCTAAATAAATCTTTTATTAATCCCCTCTCCGATGAACCTTTCAACTCCTTGCTCCAATTCCTAACAAAGCATTTATCAAATTCTCATCTCGATGCTCACCATATACAATACACTATTCTATCTTCAAAGATATTATTTCCTATTTCGATTAGTTCCCCCCCTGCCAGGAATGCTTCAAAAATATAGATCATATTCTTCTTTCTATTTGATAATCCTCTTCATAATTTGATTTACAGGTTGAATTTACTTTTTTACGGTTTTGTCTTTGGTAAGGATTGAGTTCTTGATGCATTTTTTTCCCTTCTATTTTGTTACATCTAAAATAATTTGATTTAAACCTCATCGACATAACACCTTAGTATCATGCCGTGTGCATTGCACGGGCGAAAACGAATTAAGCAAGATATTAGGTAAGAGATGTAACAGCCATTGGAAGACTTTCTCGGGGTACGTTCACACGTATGAGGAAGAGATTCAATTTCAAGGTTGCAACATTGAGTCCGTACCAAATTCCACAAGCGGACGTGTTGAATAATGGACGAAAGGTCAAAGTCCAATGTCTTCTACGTAAATCAGTTTTTAGGCTTAATTGCACCTTAAATACCCCCACAGTTTCTCCTACTTACGCACTTTATCCTCTCATCACAAGTAAAAAATGAGGTATCCTAGACGGAATTTTCCGTCTAGAAAAATCAGAATTCCGTCTAGGATGAGTATCCTAGACGGAATTCCGTCTAGAATACGCGTCTAGGAAGTTTCCGTCTAGGATGTAGTATTCTAGATGGACGGAATTCCGTCTAGAATACGCGTCTAGGAAGTTTCCGTCTAGGATGTAGTATTCTAGATGGAAATTCCGTCTAGAATACATCCTAGACGGAGTCTAGGAAGTTTCCGTCTAGGATGTAGTATTCTAGATGGAAATTCCGTCTAGAATACATCCTAGACGGTTTATTCTAGACGGAAGTAAAAACCGTCTAGAATACATCCTAGACGGATCATTCTAAATGGAATTTCGTCTAGAATACGTGATTTTCTACTAGTGTCACTTGTTTATGGCAGCACTTACGTGCCCTAAAAGTTTTTAAAACTTTCGCCTGCATATGTTCACCCGTTTCTTACACTAAGGTTTTTAAAACTTGCACTTAAATACACTAGAATTTTTAAAATTTGGCGCTTTAATATCCTAAAGTTTTTAAAACATACAGGAAAATACCTTCAAGTTTGCATAACTTATAGCATTAATTTAAGCGAATGTTTTAAAAGCGGTAGGGTATTTGAGTGCGAATTTAAAATCTTTAGGGTATTTAGAGCATCTCCAACCCAAAAACTCAAAATGGTGTAGTTTTTACACAAAGTTGATATAGTTTTTACATCAAATCACTATTCCATCACTAACCATTACACCAAATTTTACACCAAAAAAATATTCATTTTATTTACAAACTATAAAATAGGATATAGTTGGAATATTTGATTTGTTATAACAAACTATAAGGGCAAACTTAGGAAAAACCAAAATCTCCATATCTACAGTGCTGCGCAAAATCTGGCGCAACACTGTAGCACCTCATCAAAATGGCGCTGAATTTGCAGTCCGGTTGGAGGAAGATTTGGCGCAGTTTTTGCTCCATTTTGAGTTTTTGGAGTTGGGTTGGAGATGCTCTTAAGCTCGATTAAGCCTTTCTTCCCACTTTTCTTCCTGCCCATAAGAAGGTTTGCAGGTCAAAGTCCTCTCTCTTGGAAGCATCCTTTGTATCTTACATTTAGTGTATGTACTCCTCCAGGGTTGTTGCTAATTTGAAAACTTTATCTTCACAACTTCGCTGCTGCATTCCAAGGAATTCAATAGGGTCGTTGTTAAGGTGGGGGAAACAAACGTACACAAAAAAATTGACTTGATAAAAATACCAAGACTACAGCACAAGTTGAAATTTGAATAATGAGATTACGGGTCAAAGTCCACTCACTTTCCCTTTTGCTTTAATTTTGTGATTTCACATTTGTTCTTCAAAAATATCTAGACGTCTGGCTCCTTTTTATTGGGCCCCCGTTTGCTCGGCCCACGTGCAAGTCGGGCAAGTGGGAACTCATTTCAGAGGTGAAAGTATGTAGGTTGAAGTGAACACGGCACCAAGAAAGAACGTCGTACATATTGATATGGTGCCGTTTGTCAAAAAGTTAAAAGTGAGAGGTTAATGAGACCTAACTCCTTTTTAACTCCGTCAAACACTAAAAATCTATATAAGGGTTAAAGTGAGCTAACACTCTATAATTTACCAAACACAAAATATATAGAAAGGTTAAGCTAACCCCCTCTAGAGGGATTAAAATGAGTTAACCCTTCAAAATGAGGGGTTTACTAATACTCCTATTTAGAAGGATTAAGAGCTAACACCTCTAATTATAAAGAAATAGTCAAAATCCTTGTTATTCTCAAACACCAAAAATGATCATAAGGGTTAGAATAAAACTTATATAACGGGTTAATAATTTAGTCATTCGGATTATCGAATGGATTAAGTATCTTAATCATTCTCCTTAATCTCTTTTTATTAACCCTTTGCCAAACGGGGCCTCAGATTATCGAATGTGCTAAGTACATTAATCATTCTCTTTAACCCTTCTTCCTTAACCCTTTGCCAAACACTAGAGTACGGTATGGTATGATATAATTACCTGAGCCGTCTAGAAGTTTATGCATCTATTTAGGTAATCTTGAGATAATTACCCAAATGACACTAAAAATTGTCGGCAAGTAAATCCTATTATTATTTTTTGTTGATTCAAAGTTCTTTTTTTATCTTAGTTAGGATTAGGGTTAGGAGTTTTGACAGTAAAGGATTATGGTTAGGATTAATCTATGGTTAAGGTTATAGGAAAAATTCCTCACTATTATAGCAAAAGCTAAAGCTCGAGTTAGAATTAGAGGGATGAAATTGTAGTGAGTAATTATTGTGATAATCCTAATCCTAACCCCAATCTTAATCCTGACCCTGACCAAAATCCTATCCTACCCATAATCCTAAACTACATCCAACACTAACTCCACTTCATATTTATTACAATTGGTAATTTTAGAATTATCCGTGCAGATGCTCAGACTGTAAGGTCATCGGTGTTAACTTATTATAGCGTACATTAAGCTACATTAATATAATTAATCCCTAGTACAAACACCAACAATGTTCAAACTTTCGACAGCAAACAGGAGTATTGGTATCTAACTTCGAATATCAGATCTTTCTTAAGTAATAAACTTCTAATTTTGCATCGAAACATTCTTAAAAAGAAAGCTTTTTCTATATATTAGTCCCTAAATATTCAATAATTGCATATTAATCCCTCAAATCCTTTAGGCTCTTGCGAAACGGTCCTTCTATTAGTACTTCAATTAAAAAAAATCCGATTATGATCTGGTTAACTCCTAACCCAACATCTGCAATTACCAAACTACCCCGCACTTTGATGCTTCAAACCTTTTGTGAAGCTCAACTTTGAGTTAGGAATTTTTTTTCCTAGCTAGTGGAGAAGAAGAACTCTATGGCATAGGTTGAGGAACATAATAGAGAGGTAAAATGGTCACTTTGCCTCTAATTATTAGACTCAACATAACATTTCCTTCAAATGTAACATGATTTAACTTGAAAGACTATCTTGCAAGACCCTATAGGATTTGAGGGACTAATATGCAGTTTCGATTTAAGGGACTACTGTGCGACTATTGAAGATTTATACACCACGTAGAGCATGTTCGGGAATTGATTAAATTGGCTTATAAGCTACTTGGATACGTTTGACAAACAGAAAACTTTTTTTTTTTGCTTATAAGCCCAAAAAATATAAGCTGGGTAACCTAGCTTATTTCTTAGTGGGTAACTTAGCTTATTTTTAGTAGTTTATAAGCCACATAGTTTGACCAAGTAAAAGACCTCTATACGTCTTAACATGTAAGAAACATCAAAAGCTTTCTTTTCTCTCTCGCCAACCATTTTTTAGTCATTTTAACAAGAAAGAAAGACTATAAGCCACGCGAGTTTGCCAAACATTATACTATTAAATATATATTATAATCCATTAAATTTAACAAAACACGTTGAATTGTATCCACTACAATTATAAGTCATTCGCAGATTACAAGCGAAATAATCTTTAAGTTGGCAAATATGGAATATGATGAGGTTTTCCCTGTCGGCCAAGGCCTAGCTGGCCCACCAATAAAACAGGCCCACTAATCGCTTCACACTGCTCTCTCGGTCGCGTTCTCTAAGCCATTCGATCTCGTTCGACCGAACGACAGCCCCCGCCTTTCCCTCGAAATTTCTTCCCTCGTGTAAACTTAGAAACTAGAGGGGGGGGGGGGGGGGCGGGGCGGGGGGGGGGGGGGGGGGGGGGGGGGGGGGGGGGGCGGCGGGGGGGGGGGGGGGGGGGGGGGACCTCGAGCGCATGACGACGGCGCTCGGCCCGACGTGGGCCCCGGCCGAAGGGCGGCCAGGACAGGGCCCGGCACCCGCATCTTCGCGCCCCTCGCAGAAGTTCTCGTCCAGGGATCTCGCCGCCCACACCACTCTCAAGCCCAGGTCCGTCCCTCCCGAAACCCTAACCCTAATTTTAACCGTCGGTTCGATTTGTGAAATAAATGATCGTGGATTGGCGTATACCGAGGGGTTTTTTTGGGTGTAGCTGAAGTAAGAGCTAGTAAACCCTAACCCTAACCCTAATTTGGTTCCGTCTGTTCAACGTTATGCAATCATACAAGACATTTATCTTGAACTCGGGGATCTTTTATTAATCAGGAATTTGAGCTTATTTGGGAATTGCTCTTAAATCGTCTAGTTCTTGATTTGGATTGAGGAATTAGAAGGTTAGGCTTACCCTTTGTATGGTACGAAAAGAAAAAAAGTAACCTTGGTGCCTTCACTATTTCAGGAGAGAAGGGCAAGATACCCAAGAGGAGGTTCAGAGGAGGAACCTTCGGGAGGAACTGGAAGAGCGCGAGAGAAGGCACTTTTCTTCCAAGGACAAGTCCTATGCAGGTATTTCCGAGGTTTTCTTTGTTTGTTTATTTGTTCGACTTTATACTTTCTTATTTAAACTCTTATTGTTGGTGTACTCTGTTGTACTGGTGGATTTAAGGGTTTCTGATTATCGTCAAAGATATAGGTCCGAGGAGTGGGGTTCTTGTAATTTCCAACATTTTGGTCTTTCATCTGTTTGCTTATTTGTTGTAGTTTTGTATTATGGGTTATGAATGTCACTAGATACTTTGTCACTTGCCTTTTCCCTCTTGTTCTATTTCCACAAGCTTTACTCTTTGGGTTCCTTTCACGAGCTTTTCCTGCTCGTGTTTCCTTGGTTTTTAGGCCTTTATGGAACATTCGAGAGCATTATAGTTTTTTTTTCAAGTTCGGTGTTGCTTTGATTGTTTCCCTTAAGTTGGGCTTCTTTGTTCACCCTACTCTTTGCTGTTTTTTGGTTCCTAGATGGATTACGGAAGATAGAGATCAAAAGAAAGGTTGTAGTGGAATATCTTCAATGTCCTTTTCCTTTTTGACTTGTAATCTTTATATAAGTTTATAGCTCAACTATATACATACGCACTAATAATAACTATAATTATATGTGTTTCTTTTCGTGATGTTGTACTAGCTACGAGTTAATTGATTATGTCCTTTCAGTTGGGCTTCTTTTTTGAGCATTATACTGTTTCTGATATTTGGGTCATAAATGGATTGCGGAAGAAGGAGATTAAAAGAAAAGTTGTAGTGGTCCCTTTCCTTTTTTATTTGTAATCTTTATATAAGTTTGTAGCTCAGCTGTATACACACATACTAATAATAATAACCAGTTATGTGCGTGTCTTTTCGTGATGTTCTACTAGGTATGAGACAAAAACTGTGGGCTCTTTTTTAAAATAAAAACTAAACTGCCCTTGTTTTGATCTTTGATCTGTTGTCGTTACTCTGTAGTTGTCTGTCAATTAAATTGTCTATTGGTTTGGTTGCAGAAGATAGAGATCGCAGGAAAGGAGGCAGTACTGGGCATCTTCTTTTGGAAGGTAAGTGTTCTTTTTAGATATTCAGAAACATAATCATCTAGTTTCCACGGCATCTTCCTCATTTGTCACTGCAATAAGATGCTACTAATTCATGATTATTTTCTCCTTCATCATTTTCTGCAGGGACAAAGAGAGAGGTTGAAGAGCGGATTATTGCACGAAATGTGGATGCTGATGACTCAGATGTGGATGTGAAGAGTGACGATGAAAGGTTTGTTCTGACACTTATCTGATCGAATAGTAGACTATTATTACATTTTATGATCGGTTTTAGATTCTTAATACGCTTTAAGAGATATCATACTTTCTTTATTTTTCAGTGTTCTATACTTGATAGGTTGATCTTCTAATTTACTATGGTGCCCGTTCACTTTGTTGGCTGCCTAACTGCTCTATCATAACGTTTTAGCAGCAGGAGGGGTTGGTGATGTCCATCTACTGGCTGAAGAAGCATATATTAATCCTACCCAGGAGTTGAGGATAGGTCACTTCTGCTTACGCTATCCCTAAAACCAATCCCCCCCCCTCCAATTATTGTCATACCCTGTACTCCATGAAGTAACCCTTGGACGGGTATGTAATACAAAGGAAAGGATCTATTGAAAAACTGTTTATTATGGGGACATGTGCAGATATGCCAATATATGGATAGGATATATAACAAGATCTTACTAGTTGGGTTTGTAGGGTGCGAACTTTATCGTTTAAATAGTCAACTTAAAAGCACTGGAAAAATCATTTTTGCCTCAAAGATAGGTATCATTTTGTATAAGAAATTTATGGAGCAGAGGAAATTACCAATATATGGTGTTAACATTTAGGCTTAGAGTCGATTTAGAAGATCAACTAATCAGATTAAACATGTTAATGCCTCTACTTTGTCACAATTCAGTCGCCCTTTTTTCATGAAGTATAAAAGAAGAAGCACCAATATGAGGTGAAACCAGGCCAGTCTTTTCTAAATGTGATTTTAATTGCTTTTGTGGTTGTGGAAATCTTTCTTTTGTAATAATTTACTGTCTAATATGAGAAGGGATGCATACATTTCAAATACATGAGTAGAATTTAACAAGTGTTATAAAAAATATCTACTTTCTCCTGGAGGCATGCTGCTTATTTTATGAGTTCCCAAGTAGTTCAAGAATTTTATAATGTCATATGTATGCTCCTCGTGGCAGAAACAGCTTTATGCATATCTCATTATTCATGCAATTTTATTTGTTCATTCAGTTAATAAGTTTGCAAACACGGTGAATGCATTAAAATAACTCTTCAGTGCTTGTAGTGTAATAGTACTGTTTGCTTCACTTGTTCCATATGCTTAAAGTTGTACAACTTACTGTTTTAGGTGTGTCAACCTGATTATTTATCCCTTGACTATCTATTTTCACCTTCTGATGTTATCTATTTGTTTCGATTTTTTGTAAATGGCTTATCAGTTGATATGCTTGTTCCTTTGTACTGAAGCTCATTTTTTTGTGATTAGTGATGACGATGATGAAGACGAAGATGACACTGAAGCCCTACTGGCTGAACTTGAAAGGATTAAAAAAGAACGAGCTGAGGAGAAACTTCGGAAGGTACATTTCGTTTTTCATGGATGCACTATACCTTAGTTTTTGTCCTATTCCTTCCATATTTTCTTCTAAATATGTTTTGCATCTTCAGAAGAAATGTTGGATAATACCTGATAACTCAATCACATAAAACTTTAGGGAGGGGAGTTCATCCTATGGTTTTCAAGGAATACAAATCTTTGGGCAAAGTTTAGTTAGGCTAATTTCTTTTATTGTGAAATAATTCAATAAGGATCCAGGTCCTGTTATAGTTAGCGTTGTATATTACGAATTTTGGGGAGTGTCTGCGCTGTGGAGGATACCTGATTTAACCTGAAAATAGTGCAAACCTCTTGCTTCCTGTGGTCAAGTTATAGAAAATCGTGCAGACGTATCTTACATTTCTGCAATTAAGTGAGGTAGAAATTTATATCGTCATATCCAATGTTTTAAACAGCCTCCGCCTAGTCTGCCTAGGCCTAGGTGGTACAATGGCCGCCTGCATAGCAGTTAGGTGGTACCTAGGCTGCCCACCTAGGTTTCTAGAGCGCCTAGGGAGCGTAGTCCGCCTACATGGACTGCACCCTTTAGGCATTCATTGCGATTTCCTCCATTGCAGCCTCCACATCCTCCAACCTCCTCAAAACTCTAACTATGAACACCTTCTCTATCTCTCCCGACCTTCAACAAAACCTCCTCCGCCATGACTTAAGAAATCTGCCTAGGTGACATAGCTATCAGTCCAACACCTAAGTTTTCTATAATATCAGCATTTATTATCAGTAATTGTAATTAAAAACTAATAGGAAAATGCCTAGGCTGCATCTAGGCTTCCGCCTAGGCTCTAGGCGTCTGGTCCAATGCCTAGGCCGCGTAGTGCTTTCAGTAACCTTGGTCATATTGCTCTTAGGAGCGGAACATATCACCTTCATGTCACATGCTCAGATTTATTATGGATATTTGCTCGTTGTACCTCTAGCTTGAACAGAAAAGCTGAAAAGCATTTCTAATGGTCTTAAGCAAATAATTCAGGGAGGAAACAGTCAGCACGCGTGGCTGAATCAAGTTGTGTCTTAGTAACCAAAAAGCATTAGAATCAAACTATCCTTGGGGAAACACTTCTCTAGATGTCTAGAAGCAGCATAAGAAGCTCCATATTTACTTACGGATAGAAAATCTTAACACTATTTCAAATAAAAGCATGTCCACAGTTGATGCTTATTTACTAATTCTGGATTAGGGTTCTTATTTGTCCAAATGCAGATTTACCAGTTGCATGTCCCCTTCTGTGCATCAGTGGCAGCATCCAGAGTCTGTTTGTGTCCAATTGCTATTTACTGCTCTTGTCTATTCTTCTCTACTTGTTATTCCTATTGAATTTATGATGTTTATAAGTTTATGTTTATTTCTTGGACGCATGATCATGGAATTTGAACCAAGGCCTCAATGAACTAGACATTTGGTAAACTGATTCTGTGGCACTTGATAGTTGAGCAGTTATTTTAGTTTAGTTTTGGCCTTGTGCTAGATTGCTGTAACCTCTCAAACAGAAACTTTCTTCTTGCATTATCTGGTACTTAGTTTAAAATGCGGTTGTGGGGGAATATCTTGCTTTGAAGTCTTTCTGCATTGGAGTAACTTCCCTGGTTTCTTGGACAAGCAAATTATCCGAAGTTGTACATTGTACATTCACATTGAATGTTGAAGATCTAGAGCTGTTTGAGCTGAAAAACTAGTATCTCCTGCTAGGCACACTTTAAATGTATATTAGCATTTCTGTGCACCTTTAACTGGCCCATTGCTTGCCTCATCTATTGACCAACCCAAAATGATAAGATTAAAAAGAACGAGGTAAATTGAAATGTTGAAAGAAAGGGAACTTTCATTTTGTAAGTATCACAAGTTCATCCTCTTCTCATAGTTTTGAATTTGATTACATCCGGTAATGTAGTTTATCTGTTAATATGTTAACAGGAACGCCAACAACAAGAAGAAGATCTTAAGGCCAAAGAGGCTGAATTGATGCGGGGAAATCCTCTAATCAATATTAATAATGCTGCTTCCTTCAGTGTCAAGAGAAGGTAACTCAGTCAAATTTAACAATTGTTTATATTGGCTGGATTCTGACCCTACAAGGTTTCCTATATAGCTCTTGTTTTCTTATAATTTCTGATGTTGTAGGTGGGATGATGATGTCGTCTTTAAGAATCAGACTCGTGGTGAAGCGAAGGCCCCAAAACGTTTCATAAATGATACTATCAGGAGTGATTTTCACCGCAAGTTTCTGCAGAAATACATGAAATAGTTCTTTCTAGGGAGCGGTCTCGCGGATGTTTTAATTGTCATGTTTGCTTTTGTATCGTCATCAAGCTTTACATGTAATGATACCATCAGGAGTGATGTTCTAATTCTATGATTGGATATGCTTGGATGAGTTTATTTTACTCGCCGTGAGATATGTTTATTTGCTGTCTTTTCATTTAATGTTAAGTTGATAGAAGTGGACATGCTGAAGCTCCGAGAGGTTTCAATCTCAAGTGCGTTCTGCGCAGGATCAATTTTATTTTTCTTTTTCTTCTTTCTCAGATAACTTTCAAATGCGTATGGAGGAATATATTACCAGTGGTTTTCCCTGTAGTTGGATCTTGCTGTATCTGAATTAGTTCATTCACCGCTGGTGACTGTAATGCGGCATTTTTTCCTTAAGCTTTTAGTTTTTCATCGTTACTGGCTTTTTAAAATATCAATTGTTGAGATGGCCGAGTTGGTCTAAGGCGCCAGATTAAGGTTCTGGTCCGAAAGGGCGTGGGTTCAAATCCCACTCTCAACATATACATTTTTCCTTTTTGGAAAATAATTCCAAAAAAAGGACGAACAAACATACATTTTTCCCTTTCCGGCAAAAAATTTCCGAGAAAGGACAAATAACATTTTCCCAAAAGGTCAAACAAACAATCCCTTTTTGTCTTTAGATCTGAATGAAACTCAAACCTTTAAATATAGAAGAACGTGAGTTTATATGTTTTTCTAATCATTTAGAGCTGAATTTGCTAGCACTTTAATACCTTACAGTTTCCCTTGCTTTCACTTGTTTTTGGCAATACTTATATTTCTTGAACTCTATAAAAGTTATACCTTAGTATCTTATATTATAACCCATCGCGGGTGTTTTAGAGGTTTCGATATGACTCCTCCGGTATTGGGTTTAATTATGGACTAGATTATAAAAAAAAATCTTATATTATGCAAATATGATAATTTTGGTCTGAATTTTCCTATTCCGGCACTCACAAACTATTTTTAGAACTTTTTAGCCATTAACATCCGTTGAATTTATTGTACTTTGGTTTTAAACAATTCTAAAATAAACTTGTGAGTGCCACGTAGGAAAAAATCAGAGCTAAATTCTCATTCTTGCATAACATAAAATATTAAAGTACAACTCTTCGAAACTTCAAGGTATTTAGGTGCTGCCAATAACAATTAAACTGTAAGTAAGTGCATGTTAGAGAAAAGTGTAAGGTGTTTAAGTGCAAATTAGCTTTTATACAATGGATACAAATCCAAATTCTTCGACGTAACAAATTGTTATATAAAGTCCTCAGTAACAATATGCAGTTCTCTGATATAGAGGACCTATAGAAGGCTAGAAGTCTAGAACTAGGTAAATCATAAGTAAATCAAGGATTAAGGTTATAATTGCAATGTGGCGTAACGAAGTGGGCTACCCATTAATTAAGCAGCAAGTGGCACTAAATTAGCAACTATTTGTTGCCCAAAGGATTTATTCCAAAATTTCCTATCCGTTTTCTCTCTCTAAATTCTCTTTCTCTCTCTACTTATAATAATAGTCGACGACGACAGAACCCACCCGCTCTTTTCTCTCTCCTCTCCGATCGGAAAGGGGGAACAAATATCAAACCAACAAAAAACCCTAATTCTCTAGAAATCCCCCAAATCTTTCAAATTTTTTCGCCCTCGCCCTCTTCCAAACCCTAATCGATAATTTCGCTGTGGAATTCAAGAATTAGATGTTGAGATTCGCCCCCCCTTCTTCTTCAGTTCGATCCTAGGGTTTCAGATCGATTAATGGTTTTGCGTAAACTTTTTCAGATACAACGCGCTAGAATCTTGAATTGTCACTTCTTAGGCTCGACCTGTCATTTTGATTTTTTGCGCTGTTGAATGCCATTAGAGTTTTAGTTCGTAGCTGAATCCTGTCGTTTTTAGTTTCTCGCTTTAGGAATGAGTTCAGAGATCGAGGATAAGGTGTTCCTGCCCGAATCTCAAAAGTAAGCATTTCATTTTGGGAGTTTTTCTTTTAGTTGCTTATGCTATTGCGACGTTAACCAGTTTATTGAGTGCTTGGAACCAGGAGCTCGAGGGTATCATATTCTAGAGATTTTCTGCTGTCTTTGAGCCAGTTGGAAGCTTGCAAGAAGTTACCTAGTGGGTTCCATCCATCGTTCCTCAGGTATGAATTGGTTTCAAGAAATATTGAACATTTTGCGATGGAGTCTTTCTAAGTGAAATTGGGCTTAAACTTACATTTTTATTTGGGCAGTGAGCTTGGAGATGATAGTAGCTCGGGGATTGATCGGCAAAGAAATTTAGGGACATACGTACGAAGAAACCAGGGGAGATGGGATAGCCAGTCCTCTGGATCGAGCGACAAAGATGGGGATTTGCAATCTGATCGGGATACTGTAGGTTCGTTCGCCGTCACTAACTACTGATGTTTAATTTCTGGAAAAATGTATTGGGATCATGTTCTCAGCTGATTATAGAACTGTCCTATGCTTTGTGGAGCTTTTCTGATTTATAGAAGCTGTTGTGGTGATGATTGTTGCACTTATCTTCGAAAAATACAAACCTTGCCTGTTTAGATATGAGAGTCGGGAAGAAGTTATAATAGAATAATCCTATATTAATGCCTGGAGACAACATATATCTCTCCCTCGTAATGACATGGCAGAGTTTTCGTTTGAATATCTATGAGGACATTTCCTCTTTCTGACATCTGAACTCTAATTTTCCTATTATTATTTCATGATCCAATTATTGAGTGTGATCTTCAACCCCTAGCTCCTAACAGAAATAGAAACTAACAAGAATAACCAACCATTATCACTGTCTAGTTTGCACTTGCTTTTGGTTAAATATTTGCTAACTGTTGGTCCATAGTATTCATATCATGTTTGAGGATACCTACCCCATTTTTTGAACTATATTTATGTAGGCTTCTCTGATTACCTTCAAGAATTAAAATGGGCATATCCGTCATACTATCCAGAACATGAGAATGTGTTTATTTCCTTATTGGTACGTCAAGCTGATACTTGGATCTAGGACTGAACACTGAGTTAGAACTTTTGTTAACAGATTTTTATGATGTGAGGTTCAAGTCCTGTTTGGAATGGACCTGAAGTCATCTATATCTTTGCATAGCCGAACTTTATGATGCAGATTCGTTATTGCAGTTTAAAACTTTTTAATACCAAATCCCTTAATACGTAACTCCTCTCTCTCTGAACTACAAACCTGTCCTCTCTCTCTCTCTCTCTCTCTCTCTCTCTCTCTCTCTCTCTCTCTCTCTCTCTCTCTCTCTCTCTCTCTCGTAACTCCTCTCTCTCTGAACTACAAACCTGTCCACTCTCTCTCTCTCTGCACTACAAACCTGTTCATTCCAGTCTCTTATTTCCACTTTAACCTAGCCTTTCTGTGGGTCACTTGTTTGTGCTCCAACTGGTGAATATATTTGTATGTTTTTTTTGTTCTTTACTAGCTCAGCCAAGGAATATTTCTCATAAATTCCCAAAAGCCACATTTACAAGACCATGCCAAAAGCAATAAAGATATTGATGATACTATGATGTAACTGTAAACATAGCTGTTCAAATCCTTCAGATGCATGTGAATAAATTGTATGGTACAACTCAATTTGGGCCTCAGTCCAAATTGATTCGACTCAAAATCAACAAGTAGGATGTATTCTATTATACTATATTCATTGATTACCTTGAGAGGTGGAGGTCAGGGCCTAGAAGTATTAAGTGCTGACCCATCATAGCCCTATTATGTTGATTGATCCTGTTGTGTTGTTTGGTTCACATTTCCATTTGGTTGTTGATTTCCTCTTTATCACATGCTTATTAACTGATATTTAGTTGCCGTTATAATGACTTTAATTGACAGTTTGCTGTCTTATGATATCTTTGACTCATGCAGATTCTGATAGGCAATTTGCTCGACGTTATCAGCAAAATTCAGAGCATGACGGGCTATTGGGAAGTGGTGCATTTCCTAGACCTACAGGATACTCAGCGGGAAAGGCTCGAGTAAATGGCCCTTATCAACTTAATAGGAGCACTGAACCTTATCAGCCTCCACGACCATATAAGGTTTTGTTGCGATTACTGGTGTAACCTTTCATTGGATTTTTCTTCTTGTCTTCTTTACTTCCTGCCAGTTGTCTTTTTCTCTGATCTTTCCTAGAGAACTGAGTTTTTAGTTTATTTGTTATTTATTATTGCTAATTTATTTTGAGCCAGTATGTCTGAAGTAGTATCCTGCCCCCCAACAGAAGCTTAAATTGATATCTTGAGTGCTAATTCCTCTCTGTAACTGGATCATGATTTTACTTCCAGGCCATTCCTTATTCGCGGAAAGATAATACTGATTCATATAATGATGAAACATTTGGGTCTAGTGAATGTTCAGGTGAGGACAGAGCAGAAGAAGAAAAGAAGAGAAGAGGTATTATTTTTGTGGTTACCCACCAGATCTTCTCTGCAAGTATTTTTGTTATCTTGTTTATATAAGATCTCAAGGAAACTTCAGCTTACTGAAGTGCCCTCTCCCCTTTTTTATGTAGAATCATTTGAGTTAATGAGGAAGGAGCAACATAAAGCATTGCAACAGAAGCACAAACAGGGTCTTGATAATCATAAAGAAAATCTTGATACTGATATCAGTGCACTATTAGCGAATTCTGCAGATGAAAATAGCATGAGTAAAAGCAAGTCAGATGAACCTGGAATAGCTTCCCTCTCCCGTACTAATTCTTCTAGTTCTAGTTTACACATACAAGCTCCAGCATCGAGGCCACCCGTTCCACCTGGTTTTAGAAGTTCTTTAGTTGACAAAAACCTTTCTGTCCAATGTTCAACTACTTCCCTTACATCTGAGGTAACTTATGGAATTGCTTAACAGTTACGTTTTTTTTCCTTATAGCATACTAGACGTAGAAATGAGTTAGTAAATTGAAGAATCATATTTGATGTTTATTTTTGAGGTTCTACTTTATAGGATCTCTTGTATCTAGTGGCTTCCCACAAAGTACTAAAGATTCAAGTATACAAACATTAAACTGGTTTCACAGCGACCATTTTGTCATGATTTCCTTTGTTCTATTACATTATCGGTTAAGCTTCAACCTGCACGCTTTAAGTGTTCTAAGCTTAAATATGCCTATCTTTATGGTATTACGAAGTGTTGAGCATGATCATGCTTGAAGATTGATCTTGGAAGATTTACGTGATGTGCCGTTGAAGGATAACTTTTTAATTAAGTTCTCTTTTATGTGTCAATTTAATTCCTCATGGAAATCCAGTGGGATTTGAAATGTCCATGTCAGCTTTGTTTTCCTTATGCTTATTTGTTGAGGCATGAATCATTTTATTGTAGATGAATTGAGAAGGAAACTATCGTATCTTGTTTTCGCCTGATCGTGGGAAGAAATGTCACTTAATTTCATAGCATCATCATCTTTTCTATTACATTTTAAAATTAGATTTGACAAAGGTTGTTGACCGAAATATGAGATTTTTAGAGATTGTTCCTTCTATGAGTTTAAAGCACAGATAAACAAGTATAGGTTTTCCTACCTATTAAGTGGCTTCAAGGATTTATAAGTGCCCCCTTCCCCATAGTTTCTTTAGTCAAGAATTTGCTGGCAATTTAAAAGGTTGACAGCTAATCTTATAATTTGATTGATCTCCATGGAGTTCTTTAGACGCATAGCTTGAGCACATTTTAATGTGAAGCTTAGTTGCTTTTGTTGGTGATTCTTCATAATTACTGATTGTACTGTTTACCCGATAAATTTGGTTATATTACAACTGATAGATGGCATCGTAGATGGCAGAGGAAGTTGGTTCTTCAATTCTGTCAACTTATTTTGCAAAGAAGTTTCTTATACTTATTGATTTCTGATTAATGGTCTTCAATTCTTCTTCACCCTTGTTAATATATGAGCTGCAGTTAGGTATAAGTCTTAAACCAAGCAAGGACTTACATTCCAGCAGAGTTGGGTCAGTTAAATTCCACAATTACAGTCTTTTATTCCGTTTTCTTCCAGTTCATGGATTTGTGTCGCAATTTGCATATTTGTTTGGGTATTAAAATTTGTGGTGCTTAAAGGTTATGAACGGATTCGTTTCTTTATTGCTGTGTATATATGAAATATATTTCTTAACTATAGATTCTCAGTAAACTGCTGATACTTTACTCAGGGGAATACTATAATTGGGAGCAAACATTCTCTTAACATCATGGATAATAATCAGGATAACATCTGCATACCAGCTGCTTCTACACCTGTAAACTTGGGTGAAAGTGCACCCAAGGTTTCTTATCAATTGTCGATTGATGCAAATGAAAAGCGTACGGTTCCCATAATTGGTGCCGAAGTTTTGAAGCCTTCGGCAGATTTTGAAAAAACGTCAAGTAACGCAGCTGTGCAGGAAGCCAGTCAGGTTTGGGAAGATGATTTTGTTATCATGAATGACTCCTCATGCAAGAAAGGGCCCACATGTGAAAGAATAAATGCAGTTAATCAAGACAGCACTACAACAATTCTCGAAAAATTATTTAGCAGTGCGTTATCAAAAAATTATGCAAGTTCGCCTAATAGTCTTGAGGTATATTCCCTTTGCTAATGGCATTTCCCACACTTACAGATTTGCTATACTATTATATTCACATATAGCAATTTGCTTGTCTAATACTTCTGTTGTCTGCTGTGTAGTTATTACTTTCTGTTCTTGGAATATTCACACTACTGTGTATGCCTATGAGAAATGCTTGAATATAAATCTGATTGCACTCACCATAATTGAAGATGTGAGTTAAAACACAGGATTTATGGGGTTGACAATGACCAGGAAAAAAAATTATAATAACTATTATTTAGTCAAACCTTGTAGATTGGAGTCTGCATGTATGATCGGGTCATAATGAAATGTATACATCTCTGACAATATATAGTTATTGTTTCATAGGAGGTTCAATTCTAAGAGAGTGATATCGCCTTGATAAGGGGTTCAAGTGAGCTGAAGTCAACCTCATATTTTGGTATGTGGATTCTTCTTTGAGAAGCATAGGCAACTCAACAGGTGTCTTTCAATGAAGGCTACAGGGCTATTATGCGAATGTCGGGGCCTACCTTAATGATCATGTAGATTAGGTTCAACCAACCAAGCTGTAACCCTCCAATGAATTGAGTATGAAACTGAGAAGGTCTGGTATAGGAATTGTGTCCATGTGGGCTGCATTGTGAACCAAAGAGCCATGATAAAGCAGTCATACATCCTGTTCCTCTCCTTTGCCTACACACATCATAACCCCCAAATCTTTACTTTTGTTACTGGCTACCACTTTTACTGGAACAAAGTTAGAATTAGTCTTCTGGATTAATCCTGCCTGTTTGTATTATTTGTTTGATTTTGACGAACTATCAAACTGTATTCAGGGTTGTTGAACATGTCCAAAACTTATGTCACAACTTCTCTGGAAAGTTTGAGAAGAGGAGAGAAGTTGGTGTAGCCTTTGAACTGCCTCAAGAATTGTTATGTTGGCATTTTGAAAGTGCGTTGAATGTATTTTAAAGAAAAATATATAAAAAAAGAAATTACACTGTTGCTGGAAATTTTTAATCCATAATGATATCAAATGGAACTCTGTAGGTGAACTCATAGATCAAACCTGCTGGCTTATTTTTCCGAAGAAGTCCTTGAACCTAGCTCTGGAGACTAGAAGCTAGTGATGATGCATATTTTTTAGGATAACACCATGTAGATGGTTTTATTCTGTTTTGCTGCCTCAAGAAACTCTTTTGTGTATTATTTTTATTTATCAAGATGTTGAGTATCTTTCTTGCAAATATAAGAGCTACTTTTTGATATTCATCGTCTTCTGCAAATTGATCGGCACCATGCTGTTGTTCAAATATCGTGTTTCTTGTTATAGTCAAAAGCTAAAATGCTTCATTTGAAATTATAATATTTATTGCCGACATATAAAATAACCATGCTAAGTTACTTCAGTCATTACTTGCCTAAGAATATATGGTTTGGAAGTGAAGCTGGTTGGTCAGTGCCTCTACCTGGTTGTCAATCGTTTTGCAATGATTTTGCCTTGTATATTCTTCTCTGTACAGAGAACTAGCTTGGATATTAGTTTTATATTGTTCTATTTTTCAATAATTCTTGATATATGTGATGTCATACATATTTTGTGCCCAACCTGCTATTGAATTTCAGCATCAAGGTGTTAAAGCTGACAAGGAAAAATGGGATCCTGTGTTATCTGAATCTTCCATGTCTGCTCATTGGTTTTCTGAAAATGGTAAGCTGCAGTACATTTGCAACGTGTAAGAACCTCAAACCATCTGTTCTACCATCTGCTCTTCTAAGGTAAACTAACCAATCTGCTCCCGTTTCCTTGTAGAGAAAAAATTTGAGGATTTTTCATCCAGAGAGTTGCTCTCTTTAATTGTCAGTAATGAGAAATCAGGTTCGCTGGTGTCTACAGCTGATGAAAAGGCTGGTCAAAACATCCCGCTAAAGTTGACTTCTGAAAGTGTTGTTAATCCATCGAAACTCCCAACAATCCCTGTAACATGCTCAGTTACTTCTGTTCCTGAAAATTGTTCCTTGAGTGATAAAAAGAGCCCAAATTCGACTGTGCTCACGTGCGAGGATCTTGAGCAGTCCATCTTAGCTGAGGTGAAAATTACCAAACCAGATCAGCATCACTCTGATCAGGGAGGTTGGATTCCAGCTGATGGTAAATCTGAAAGAATGAAAGCTGTTATTGATGACCGTGCATCAAACCATCTCCTTTCTTTGTTACAGAATCGAACAGGCTTGGAAAATTCAATATCTTCTTGCCCGCTTGGTATTGAATCTGCTGACAGCTTTTGTGGCTCTAAAGTAAAGCCTCTTTTTGATCATATTTCTGGTAACACTGCTGTTAAAATTCCTGAGAAGGTCAGTAGCTCTGAGAAGACACTTACACTTGAAGCATTATTTGGGGCATCATTTATGAATGCTCTGCATTCAGCAGAAGCCCCAGTCTCGGCTCAGAGAGGTTCAGTTGACACAGTAAATAACACTGAAGTTATGCAACCTCATGGAGTGTCTCTTGTTGAGGCCGTAAAACCCGCTGACATGGGTACTGAGGAGGAAGAAGCTGGGGAAATTCAACTGCCAGAGGAAGATAGTCTAATTACTGTTAGTGATACTGTGAATGCTGTAACCACTGACCCTTTCTCTTTCAACAATGTGCATAAACCTGAGGTATTCTTGCCTGAAAACAATAATGTGGAAAATAATGATAAATTTATTAATGCTATCTTCAGAGACAAAGAAAGATTAAGGAAACATGTTTCAGATGTTCCAGTTCATCTTCAGAAGGAACCATTAAAGATGGTTGATCCTAGTGATCTTTATCGTCAATTACATGGTAGACCATCTTCACACTTTCCTCATCAGATAGATCAATCAAGGCCTTTGTTTCCCCCACTGGATCATCCTTTTCATATCAATCCTCAGATGAAGTTAGCAGGTCAAAATGGCATGCATCATGATCCTCACCTTCCTTTTCATGAGAATCTTATTCCTCGGCAAGATTTCAACCATGCGGGTGCGCCGAGAGTGGATCCTGCAGCTTTTCATTATTCTATGTTACAGAACATGCCAGCTCCAGCGAATTTTCATCCGCATCATCCGATGCAGAGCTTGCCAAGAGGTTTACCGCCATCTTATCCAATGAATCACACACCTGGGTACATGCATGAGATGAACACTATGCACAATTTTTCTTTACATAACCGACAGCCGGATTATAATGGCGGCCCAGCAATGGGATTACGTGGTAAATTTCTTTCTTTATTGGTGTCAGTTTTTCTGTTCTTGAAACTTTTTGCGTTTACTTTACGTGGTTCTCCGGAGTCTCTGTTGACTGCTGCCTCAAAACGTCCTTAAGCAGCAGAACTGAAAATTGGACTTATAGATGCATTACTTGGCATATTCTTTCAATGTCATGGTAGATAACAACTTATATAGATTCTTTTGCTATTTAAGAAAAACTGTCCTCTTCATGACTTCACTCTCTGTTTTCACCTACCAGCTCTACCAATGTTTTTCACTGTTTGCAGGGCCTGTTGTCGGTGGTGGTGTGGGCGCTCACCCAGAAGCTCTTGAAAGGTTGATTCAGATGGAGATGAGAGCTAATTCGAAGCACCTCCAACCTCCAGTTGGTCACCACATTCCTGGAGTTTATGAACCTGAGAACATAAATTTCAGGTATAGGTGAATTCTTAAGTAAGCTGCTCATGTGTGAATTTCCTGTAGTATACAGAATGTGTACTTTTTTCCAGCGTGTATTCTCCTAGTCCTTCCCATCTCCTTCCCA